TAGTGGCTGGAGAACTGCTCTCCTTGTGGGGTTGGTGAGCAGCAAGCAAGGAGGTTATTGTCCTGTCCTGCATGTTCAGTGCTGAAAGTTCAAATAGATGCATGAGCAGATGTCAGAAAACGTCTAATTATGGCTTATAAAATTACCAGCTCACTGGTTTATGAATGGAAATGTGCAGGTGAGCTGTGTAGCAATGTTGTCTCCGGTCCATCCTTAAAAGCCTCATCTGCAGAGAAAACAGAGAGGAGGGAACACGCCAGTGCTGTCCTTCATGCCCATGGGAGCTGCAGGCAGCCCAGACCCTCACAGCGTCTGGTTCCTGGGAGCAGCACGTGAATTATGTTTCAGAACGGTCCCTCTCCTGAAGTATAGCAGAAGATACGTTGCTGTTCATCCTTTCTGCCTGCCGTCAGCTCCTCGAAGTGCTAACGTGGTTTGTGTTGTCTCTTTTGTGTCTCTACCAGCCCCTGGTAAGGACGGATGCTGCTTGTTGCGCCCTCACAGCACTTGCAGCCTGTGTTCATGTGTGCAGTTCTTCCAAAAACTCAGACTGAGGCCTTCATCCCTCCAAATTTATGGTTTTGTGGTCTAATGGTTATGGTTTGGTTATGGATTAATGGCACACGGTGATTTAATGCTTCTCCCTTGTGGCAGTTTTCCATGAAACCTGTGGAAGTGTATGAGGACGATAGCCAACTACACTTTGCTCTCCGTTTTGAGCACAAGACACTTTTTGGTGCAATCAGTATAAGCGTACAGTTTATACGACAAAGCCTGTCCACAGAGCTGTTTGCCAAGGCTGGGCAGAGATGTGACTCACCAGTAGGTAATGACTTGCTTATCAGAAGGTATTGGGACTTTTTGATGGACTTTGTGTGTGTGTGAGGCATGATCACGAGCAGGGACTCTCAGCGTCCCTCCTTGCAGCAACAGCAGGAAAGGAAGACAGATTTTCTCATAGGCTTCCTGCAAGGTAGCCAAAATCTGTCCTTTAGTAACACACCAGCTGCATCCTAAACTCTGAGAGCATCTGTATCAGGAGCTGACATCCTCTCTGGTTTGTTATATCGATCTTCCTGTCTGACTAAAAGTGTTTCTACAGAGTCCAAGGAACAGTTCTCGGGAACGAAAACGTAGCTTGGCATCGTACAGGCCGTACATGCAATGACTTTTCCTGCTGGTGACTCATGAAGAAGGTGTGCCCTCGACTTCTTTTGGAGCATCTAGGTGGAATAATTCAAATGGAAAGGGCACGCCTTGTACCCGGCCTTGTGTGCTTGGGCTGGTCTCGCCACAGTGAGGGCCAAGACCCAAGGTGTTGGTCCTGTCCTGAGAGACCCTCGGCACGAGGCTGTGGGGCAGGTGTTCAGAACAGGTTCTGTTGTATGGGAAATGGTGTTGGGCTGTTTCACCTTTGAAAATGGATTTCCCTGTGTATCCCTGGGCTTAAAATCTGAGTATTTACCTCTGCAAACCTAACTGTGCTTCGCTTAGCTTTTGTAAGCAACTTCCTATAATGCCTGATTTTTTTATTATTTTTTTTATTTAAATCAAAGTAATTTTCCCCCTGAGCTACCACAGTAGGCATACATCGCAAGCCACTACCAACCCTTGCAGCAAAGCTTATTGCTACAGACAATCATAGTAACTTCAAAAAACTTAAATTAAGTAAGGGGATGGATAGGGACACAAGGCTTTCCAGTAGGAGCTGGTTGCCCTGAACAGGTTGCTCTGAGGCCTGAGATGAGTGGGGATGCGTATAAATAAAAAATGCATCGCCTTGGACTTGTCTGTTTTCTATTTCCTCTCCATATCCATTACAGATTCACAGGTTTTAAAGAGTTCTTGATGTGAGAGCAGCAAAATGCAAACATGTTGGTCCAAGTTGTAGTTATGTCATGAGCAGGTTGTGACGGGATGTTTCTCTTGCTCCACGTGCAAAGTGCAACAAACTGGAGGGAGCTTGATAGCAGAACTTTCGGTGAGCACAGAGCAGGGTTTAAAATCCTAAATGTCCTGATGTCCTGAGCCCAGCGTGGTGAACAGCAAACATCCCATGGGGCTCAAGCATCACAGGGATTCACCCAGACATATAGCTTGCAAAACTTGTGGTCCAACCTTCTCTTTTGTTTGGGCGCAAAGTTGGGTTTTTGACTAAAAGCGACCTTTTTCATGCGTGCATCTGCTTTCCACGCCGTATCATAGTGTTTGTATTATCATACTGCTGGCAACCAGGCTGTTCTGGCTGACAACCAAAGTGTTTTGAGGCACAATGGCATTAGCACGTCTCGTGGGAATGGTGCTTTTCAGTACCTTCTGCTTCCATTCTCCTTTCTGGGCCAGGTTTTGTTGCCACCTGCAGCTCCCAGGATGTGCGTGGACAGAGAGAGGCTGTGTGTAAGCTAGAGGAGTCTCATGCTTTCGAGGTCTGATGAATTCCCATGCAAAACCTGCAAAACCTCAGGCTACAGAACAAAATGTGGGGAAAAAATAATAATAATAAAAAAGCCTTAAGGGACAAAAAATGAGACACAGTGACACAGTTTTGAGTCATGCTGTTTCATTGCTCGAGAGAGAGATTTCACTGAAAAATATATTTATTCTGTGGAAAATTCTGATAAAACCCAAATTGCAAGAAAAAAGTTTTGACTGTAGCCGGCTTATGTGGGATTTTGAGAGCCCACCTGAATGCTCTAAAAGCCAATTTCTTAAGAAAGAAATCTCTCCAGTTTCATAATCTGAGGGCTCTATCTATAGCTCTGTGATGCCTGCCCAGCGCTCTAAAACTTGGATATACATTTTTATACCTGGAAAGTTTGTTAATTTGCAGAACCACAGGGTAATTGGGGGCTGCTTAGCACACATTGCTCGAGCTGCTTTTATTCATCCATACAGGAAAAGCGGCACAACAGGGCTGGGACTGTTTATATAGATGTGTTTATTTCTATGAATGAACAGGGTTTTGTTCATTTTGTTTGGTTGTTGTTTTTTTTTTTAATGTAAATATGTCGGCATTAGTGGTTTGCTGATACTAACAACGTTCTGTAAATTATAGCATCTCTGCTGAAATACCGAAAGCTGGGCGTATGTTAGTCCCACCTGAGAAAAATGTGAGATCTTTTTTTCTTTTTTTTTTTTTTCAGCCAAAACGTTCAGAAAGCACGTTCTGCCTGTGGTGATGAGCTGCTACGTGAATCCATGGAAATCACCACCCGCTCGCTGTGTTTGCACAGCAATTAAAGGGGGATTACAGGCAGGGGGGAGCCCGGTTCCCCTGCCCTGCACGCACCGGGAGCCTCAAAGCCACATTGTTCCCCGTCGCCGGTGGCACTGCTCTGCCCCAGCGCCGTCACCGCCAGCCTGGGGGACAGGGAGGGTTGTGCAAACGGGAGAGGGCAGTTTCTGCCTGGGAGAGCCCTTGTTCTAAAAACAAAATAAAACAGAAGAAAAAAAAAAAAAACAGGGCGGGGGAAGGAATGCAGTTAGGTTTTTCTTCTCAAGGTGTATTGAGTGGTGTTGAGCGTGTCCCGGCCTTTGGGGGATGCGTTGCAAGCAGGTCTTGGCTGCAGCGGGATGCCGTGGGATGGCCGGGCACCAGCAGGGCCGGATTCCTGCTCCCCATGGAAACCACCTCCCAGAGCGCCCATCCCTCCCCAGCCAGCCCTAATCCTCCCCTTGCGGTCACCCCAAGCAGCCTCCCAGCTCTCTTATCAGCGAGGATCTCCCTTGAGCAAATATTTACGGGAGGCTGCTCCTGGCGGCTCGACCAGAGGGGCGGGGAGCCAGGGGACACGAGGTGGCCTCGTGGAGCCAGCAGCATCGGCCTCCTGTGGTTGGTTGTGGTGGGTTTGTTTGGATTTAAGACCCACCAGAAAACAAAATCTAGTTTTTAAGCTATCCACAGCAGCAAAACCCCCAGGAGATGGATGGAGGGCTGCTTGCAAAACTCATCCTCCCAACACAGCAAGCAGCGGGTGAGACCTCCATCCCTCTCCCATGTGTGGTGCTGGTCTTGAGCCACCTCTTGCATGTTGGTGATGATTCTAGAGAATCTCAAGTAAACGCATTTTTACTTACCTGTGGGCTAAGAGGTGTCTTGAAGGTGAAGCCACCTGAGCAAAGTGAAGGTGTGAGCTGGGCAAGCAGCTCCTGGTGGGATTTCACATTCTTTGGTGGCATCTGCAGGAAGGACCTGCATTGTTACAAGTGATAAAGGGATGGCTATGGTACTGTCCCGAAAGCAGTACCCACAGGAGAAGGTCTGGGCTTCAGGGTCAAGGACATGATGCACACACAGTGCTGCTGAGATTTGGCAAAACCGTTCAAAGCATGAGACTGTGAGAAAAGCTTGAGCAGCCGATGAAAGATGGTTCTGGCGGTGCTGTGTTGGGCAGGCTGGCGAGAGTCTAAATTAGTCACCAGGTGCTTCCTGCCTCAGCCTCTTCATCCGCGGGAGGTACGTGTTGATACAGATCAGCCTTCAGATCCAAACCCCAAATCTCAGTTGCTGTAAGTGCACAGAGCCCGGTAGCCAGGTCTGCAGCTGAAATTCACAGCGAAACCCAGGGGTGCGAGGCACCGGAGTGCGCCCTGCACGAGGGGGAGCAGGGTGTGTGCTGAGATGGTCTCTGCAGAGAATACAGAGACCCTCAAAGGAACTGCAGAAAAATATTTATTTTATTAAAAAAAAAAAGGGGTTGGGAAAGCAGCAGCTCAATGTGTGGTCTGGGGACAGCCTGTCCCAGCTTTGGCACAGCCTCGCTCCCGATGATGGCAGCACCTTGGTCCATAAATACCTGTGTGTTTAGGTGCTCTGCTCACTTTTCCTTAATTTTTCTTCTGGAGCACGCAGTCAATCCTGCCTAATGGAGGAAGGTGACAGTTAAAGCTGGAGGGGCTTTGTTACCCTGCAAACGGTATGGAAAACAGATGGGGACCTGGGAACCATTGAGTTGAAAGTAATCATCAGTCTGTGCTACAACATCATTCTCCCTGAACAGGCAGCATCGAGAGCGTCTGAGGAAATGAGCTGATGCTACACAGTGCAGCACAGTAAGTAAATGACACCCGGAGCCTTTCACAGCATGAGATGGGTTTTTGCATGTCCCCATACCGCTCTTCTGCACCATACAAACCAGCTGGTGAAAAGGGAGACATACCTTCACCTGTGCAATAGCACAGCTACTGGTGCAGGTGAAGGTGAAGTGCTGTTAGGATTTCTGGTCTATTCTGAAGTCCCCTTGCACGAGCACCCTACGTCGCTCGATATAACACAGCAGTGCTGGCTAAATGGGCACTGCTCACTGTCCAAAGCCCTGGCAAAGAAAAAAAAAATCCACCTTCTTCTCAGGTTGAGTCTCAGCTTTGTCTCTTCTGCCTGCCAAAACGCACACTGTGCCCAGAAGACTGTGTGGCTTGCAGGGGCATCTAGTGGCTGAATAATATATGAGTAAGTGTGGCATTACAACGCGTTTCATACACGGTAATCTCATCAGCGTAAATCAGTCTTCTTGTCTCAAACAGGTTCGTCTCCATCATCACACAAAGAAACCCACAGGAGCAAACCTGGAGGTCAGAACCACTGCCAATAACCCGATGTAAAAGGTATCTCTCACTCCACTTCCTCCCCTCCCTGTCCCCAAATAACAGTTTTGGATAAAAAGCAAAACTTTGCTGATGACTTCATTCCTTGTCCTGTTAAATATGTGGAATTAATTCTTAGTGGGGGAGCATAACTTCGTAAATCAGCCTGTCTCCCTTGAACACACCTGACTCCAGAGCTGCTAAGGGGAAGCCTGGAGGCAACCAAAAGTTTGGAAAAATCTTGCTATTACTCCCAAATGTTTGCTTGCATGATTTATTTAGCTCAGGCATGTCTCAGCTCAAACAGAGCAAAGAAATCACAGAACTGGGCAGGAGGAAGGAAAATCTTTGCACGCTGTTTTGCAAAGCCAAACGTTTGTAGCTTGCTGCAGGGATTCAGGACAAAACCTGCTGGGGACAGCTGCAGTAATGCTAAGCACTGCAATTGCCTGGGCATTAATAGAGAGGATTTCAGCTCGGAGGTCTGTTAAACTTCATTGACAATGAAAGCCTCCAGAGTCTCCTCAAATGAGACTGAACACAGCCCCTTCGCTTTCTTTAAGCCTTCAGAGGACAATACCTATGGCAAACACTCCCAGAAAGTAAAAGTGCAATATAGCATAGTGAAGGCTGATAAACAAGGCTCTTTTGTAGGGACTAATGACTCATGTCTCCTGGATTTATAAGAAAAAGAGCATAAAAGCAATTACTGGGGTGTGAATTATTTTGTTTTTTTTTTTAATGGCCTGACAGTTTTGACAGCTCCGAGCTTGTTATCTATCACAAACTCTCTTGATCTTCCAACTTTAACATGACTTTTAATTACACTTTCTTATTAGTAGAAGGACAAACAACGTATAGTCTGGTTTTCGTTCATGTCCAACGTATTTAAACAATAAGGGAACCTTTTCCTCCTAGTAGGGCTAAAAGTGTGATTTGGTTGTCTAATATGGTAGCGGTATAAAAAAAAAATACAAATAGTTCAAGGCTTGTTCTTCACATTAACATTTTGGTATTGAAAGAGCAACAGGGACAGAAGCAGTCCTTCCGTCTTTTCTGTTACTTAAAAACGTGTATCTGCTTTTGCTCAGGTCATTTTCCCTCAGTCCTAGAAGAAAATAATCTGCAAGACTGTCCCATGCCCCTTCTTTGCAGGTGTGTGCTGTGACCCAGCCATGTGGGCTTTCAGCATCAAGTCCTTCTTTGTGCCGGAGCTCCCTGACGGACTTCAGACAAGGCTATGTGAAAGGCATCTTGTGGAGGAGAGCAGTCCTGTAAGTGAAAGCACTGCCCTTAGTCCTAAAGCATGATTTGAGGGTGACTTTCTAACCTTAGCAGAGTTTAATGAAGAGGATGGAGTCACTTTGTTACAATGATTTTCTGTTGCTGAGGACCTGGAGCTGACAGCCTTTGCCCTGCAGAAGTTGGCTGGAGTTTCTCTTCCCTCACCTCCCTTTTCTTGCCACCAGCTGTGTGGTGGGGCTTCTCCTCTTGGTGGTCAACCCGATTTGGCTTTGCTATGCCTGTGTTTGCTCATAGAGATCTGAGTTTTGTTAATTAAAGGTAGCTCCTGACTGGGGTGGGAAGGAGTAGGGGTACAGGGAGGACATGAGGTGCCCAGTTCTGTGTTGGATGTGTAGGTATGGGTGGTCCCACAAGGCTAGGCAGGCTCAGAGCTCTCTCCAGAGACAGCAGGATTATTTTCATGGTGCGAGAAAATTGCCTTTGGTGAACTTGGTAGGTGTTTGGGTTTCTCACCCAATCCCAAACGTGTGCGAGGTTCCTCGATGTAACAGCAGTTGCTTCCCATAAATCTAGCTCATTAGTCTCCAGTGATAAAAAGAAAAAAAACGCATGAAGATGTTCTTAAAAGACCTTTGATGTGAAAGGAGCAATGTACAGGTCTTCCCATACCCCATGGAGTCCAGCTGGAGTTGTTCATGGGCTTTTCCTACAACAGCTGGACTCCACCCTACTGCTCTGAAGCACGGATCCAGTAAGGGGTGATGTGTGCCCCTACCACTTAAGTAGCATAGAAAGCTTTCAACCGGTGGTTAAAAGAAGTATTTGAAGTGCAGCCAAGCACCATAAAATCCTGAAGCAGCATTGATTTTTCCCTAGTGAAAAACGAACAGAGCGGCCCGCCCAGCCCGCTCCGCTCCCAGGTACCCTGCAGTGCCCACCCCTCCTGTTAACTCACTCCAGGCAAGTTGTTAGCTAAAACCCACTGCTTAAAACTCAGGTTTAAGCCCCAGGTATCTTTCCCAGCCCTTCCCCACCATACAGGTCCTGCTAAGGCTTAAAGTATCGGGTTCTTCTAGGGTCTGTTTAGCACACAGAGAAAAATCATCTCATTAAAGCTATGATGTATTATGTCAAAGACATACCCAGGGGCTGGTTCCAAGTTAATCCGATAAAGTCCAGGCCAAAACCATGTTTCATTTTCTGTGAGATCAGAAATGAAATGTCTAATGAAACAGTTTATCCTGTGCAGGATGACACAGCTCTTGAAAGAAGAGTGAAGGGCAGGAGAGTGTCATGCAGAAAGGTCTGGCGCTTGGTTACCTTATGCTTATGTGGATCAGGCAGAGAGCTTCACCATGCCTCAAGTTTCCTTTTCCAGACCACATGTCCATGCTTTGGTGTTCTGGGGGTGTGGGCTCACTGATGGTGATAAGCCTACTTCAGATTCTTGATCCTGTTTCTATAATTGACCAAGCTAAAACACCTTGAATCATGGGCAATTACTATTTCACCATGACATTCATTTCCCAAAATCTAAAGCTTTGACACAAATGGCTTTTTCCTTCCCAAAACACAGGCTTTCCTTCCCATCCCTGCTGATTCTTGGTACCATTGTGCTGGTCCTCACATTCCTCTTGCAGAACAGGTAGGAGACCAAGTCCATTAAGGGTTGCAAAGAACTTGGAAACCGTGGTGATGGACAGCGTACATACTGCAAGTAGTGATATATGATCTGGAAATAAAGTATAAATAAACGTTAGGAAGATTACAATAAAATTTTGATATGCACTACAATGAGCAAAGCTACAACAGAAATAGTTTACTGTATTCTTCAGCCTTTTAAAAGTTAGGAGGAGCCAGGGCCAGGACTGCTTGTAGAACACCTCTTTTTTTTTTTTTTTCTCTCTCTCTCCTTGTGTATGTGCATTAAAACATGTTTTTAATGCTATCATTATATATTATTTTTCTCACATGACCAGTTATGGGCATCTCTTAGAGTATTGGAAAGCAACAACATATATGTCTAGAAGGCCTCTGGAGTTGCAGAGATATTAAATAGATCCCATACATCAGTTGTTTGTTTGTCTGTCTAGTGACAGGCCACTGTTTATCTTATGATAAAATAGCATGATAGGGAAATGCCTATCTCAACTGCATTTCTACAGAAAATGTTTTTGTAGAGAGGAAATATAAGGAAAAGGTAAGATGAGAAAAGTTTGAAAAAAAAAAAAACTAAAAAAAAAAAAGTAACTTGAGAAATTCAGGGGCAATAAATCACCACACCAGATGGTATTCATCTGTGAATTCTATGCAGAGCTATCAATTTAAAAAAATTGCACAGGGAAAAAAAGGCAGGCATGATATCTGCCCGTTTCCACTGCCCATCTCTGTGGTGCCTTGGCAAGTCGCAGGTGACTTGGTGCCACGCGCCAGCACCTCTGGGTGCCTCCAGAGCCGACCTGGCAGCCCCACCACAGCCTCTGAAAATTTGACTCAGCGGATTATGTGTGTATTTACTTAGTAATTCTCTTAATTATAGTGAGGAAGTGCAACTAAATAGGTGGATTCTGAATAGCATTTTAAAAATCCATCAGAACTGATTAACTCTGATCTTTCTGCCAACTTAAATTCCTTCAGAGAAGAACACATTATGTTGAGCTCACACACCTTTCATCCTAGGTTTTAGAGGGCTTTTGGCCCACATATGTGTGAGGAAACAGCTCGTGTTACAGCTGCAGATCAGGATGAAGTCTCCTTTTGACACGAAACCCATCCTCATCATCCTGAGCGGGGCCTTGCAGGTAATTCCCATGGCTGGGGGGACAATGGATGGAAAAATAACCCATCTTTATCTGGTCTTGGGTATGCAAGATAAGAGTCCCATCAGGGAGAAAGCATCCCCAGCTGATGGCTGGGTACCACCTGCTCTCCCAGAGAAAAATGTTATACAGGGACCCAGCTATGAAATGCCAGGAGGGTGTAACCAGCACGTAATCTACAGGGTTAAGCCCCAGCTTTATTGAACTTGAGCAGTTTTGTGTTGTTGTTGGTTTTTTTTTTCTTTTTTTTTCCTAGCAATTCCCTGAAAGTGTCAGAAAAATAATGAACGTTAGGGAATCCAGGAAACATCACAAGGAGGTGGTGATATATGGATTATGAAGCTTGCGTTACGAGCTAGGGAAATTACAGTTGTAGTGCCTGCATGAGCTGGGACTTCAGTGACAGCAGGAAAAATCCCTGCATCTCCTCAATCATATCTTCTCCCTTCCCTGCCTCGTGGATTGCAGGGCGAGGATAAATTCAGTGGGAGCTTATAGAGTTCTAGCAGTTATTTGGAGATATGAAATAAGGGAGTCCATGACCTCAGTAACCTGAGGTGTGAGCTGCTGTCATTTAAAGTTTGGTAAAGAAATAGATCATAGAGGCTGCTCAGGAAGCCATGGTTCTGATTACAGGGTGAAATTGCCAATCAGCCTCAGCCGTTCCTACCAAAAAGCTGTGCTGCTGCCAGCAGCATTTCCACAGGTAAGAGCTCAGCATGTGCCAGCCTCCCTGAGGGGTGAGCAGCAAATGTGGGTATGGCATCTACAGAGAAGGACACTTTGTTAAAAAATGCACTGTTTTATTTGCCAGTCCTAAAATGACGTTTTGCGAAGAGAAGAAAATTGATTTAAAGGCCACAGGAACAAATCAAGGGGTCAATTTTGACTTTAATTCCAACAATTAATTAAGGAACTCTTCCAGAGAGGTTTGCAAAATGAATATTGATCTCGGATCTCAGGCACTCTGCAGTCGTGCCTCGGTCCTGGTTCATATCCTCGCGCTCTGATTTACGGGCTGCGTTTGGCAGCAGAGGAGCCGCTCAACAGGCGGCTCAGCGGAGATGTTGGGGTGCTTGTCCTGAGCACATCGTCTGCACCCAAACAGCAGGATGGGTCTGAGCAAGGTGGTGATGGGTGTGCGGTGTGGGATGGGCAGGAGTCACCTTATGCTGTCATGCTGTTCCTTGCCCTTCTGGCTTCCAGAAAACATCATAGAATGGGCAGAAAGAAATTGTGGGAGGGAAATCAACCCATGAGTGAATTTTTCTTCATCTCTTCTTTATTCTGCCTCTTCCTCCTCCTCACTGGGAGCACTTGTCTGAAGCCAACAGATAGCAGAGTCACAGACGTTTGGTGAAGGGTGTAGCTGCATTTGATGTCAACCTCTGAATGTAACAGAAAATCTTGGGATGAGTTAATCTGGACCATTCCTCTTCATGCTCTACCTGTCATCCCTCTTCTTGCAGATGCACTTTATGCTGACTGCAGAGCACAGCTTTGTGAAATGAGTGATGCCAGCAGAATTTGCGATCATACAGTAAGTGAAAACATCAGACAAGCAGGATTTTCCAGTGCTACCTGACCTAAAGCAAGCAGCATCAGGGTTAACGCTGCTGCTGCATTTAGAAACCTGGGAAGTGAATTTACAGCATAAGAAACCGTTTCTACCCACTCGGTACAAAATACATCCCCTCTTCATAGGAGCATAATCAGATTAAGCAGGTGAGAGAGAGTCAGCATAACTTGGAAAGATTAGGTGTGAATTCTAGTCACAACATAGCTTCAAAAATAGAAATCAGGGTTTTTAACATTGAGAATTACTGCAGGGCTGAGAAGTACCCCTGATGATGAAATACAGCTGATATTTAGATTCTTATTGTTTTATTTACTGCCGCATTTAGAGCGCGCCCAGCTAGTTTGCTAACTACTTACAAAACATATTTAATGTTTGGAGGCACTCAGTATGGCCATAAAATTATTTTAAGGGCACGCAAGCACAGTGTGTTAACAGCATTACACGCACTCTGGTTCCCAGTGGAAGGGAGAAAAAATAAAAAGAAGAAAAAAAACATTTTCTGCGTAGGCTCAGTCGTCTCATCCTCAGTTTGGTGGATGGGCTGCACAGCTCAAGCTGGTTGACTTCCCGGCACTCGATGGGAGCCACTTAGAAGGATGAATTGAAGAGATCAATAACTGTTACATGCCATAAGTGATGTAGCACCGAGTACTTCAGGGCCGTTAAAAATTCTGCGATAAAGGATGGCTTGCTGGAAGCTCAGAAATTAAGGAGGGCAAAGCACCCCACGCGGTGGCTGTAGGGATGGAAAGTCTCCCCATGCAGAGATGGGGACAGGCGCTGGAGAGAGGCACCCGTGTGTGTTTATCCATTTATGAAAATCAGGAATCCAGAGACAAATGCGCTCAGCAGTCCCCCAGTGCAGGTAATTGAAAACGAGAGCTGAAAACATGAGCTTTCATGTTATGCTCCAAGGGTTAATAGTCTTTTGGGGCACTTAAGATGAAATCCCTGCGAGAGTCCACACCATGTCTCCTGCCTGTCCCTCAGCCATTACTTTGTTTCTTCTTTCAGTAAATTTTTATTATTTAGGACAGAGTGATTTTTTTCCCTAGCAAATCTCATGCTGGCTCACCCTTCACATATTATATTCATCAGGAGACTCTACAGCTTTCTCTAAGGATCCTTGCTGCTATTTTTCCTGGTAGTGTGGGGAGGGCTCGGGAGTCCTGGGAGAACCATTAGTTCCTTTTGAAAGGATTGATATGGACTTGGCCCCCTTCCAGTCCTCTACTGTAGAAACTGTAATTTATCACTAAAAAGCATACATTATTTTTGCGAGCCGTTCAGCTACTTCATTCTCTGTTCCTTCAACTTTTCTGGACGGGTGCCATGGAAACCCAAATGATTTATTATAATTCAGTGGTGGGGATTGAGCAGGCTCCTCTTTAGTGCTATCTGTACATCTCCATCAGCAGGAGCAGCCCAGTCCCACGTTGGGTGCAGGAGGGACAGTGGGATGGGGCAGCGTGATCAGCATCACCCGCTGGAGGTGCATGGCCTGTGGAATGAAGGCAGCAAGTCGAGGTGAAGTAGGGGAGCTCTGTCTCTGCTTCATGTCTTCCTTAAGTGTGTTGGGTTTATGGGTTGGAGTGGTGAAGGTGTGAGATACCTCTCCTTTCGTGTGCTGCCTGACGAGCACGTTCATGTTTGTGGTCACACAACGGTACTCTTGGCATTAGTCAGTTTTGGTATCACGCTGAGGTGCCCTCAGTGCCCCATGTCTAGCTGGCTCTGAGCCTTCCCTGTAAAGCTGACATAGGACCAGGTCTGAAACTTGTTTCCCATCATCTCCACAACCCTCACTTCTCTGCTCTGGGGGCCTTCTTGCTGTCCTGTTGGCATGGGAGTAGGAAGTGAGAGCAGAGAGGGGCTGATTGCACATCAGCTTCTTCTCAGCGAACCCTCCCCCTTCACTGCTGTTTACAGATCTTTTCTGGTCACCTCTGACATTTCCTTCTACTCCTCTCAGGACTATTTATTTCAATAAAAGGCTTAGAAATAACAACTGGGTGCTACCCTATGGCACGTAGGAGTGCTACACAAGTGATATGCTAACAAACGAGCAAGCCAGAGTAGTGCACCAAGGCTGCTGCTGCCTCACATCTGCATGCACCTATGCAAGGTAATATATAACACAAGTAACGCTGCCTTATGTTAACAGCAGGATGGCCAAATAATGTAGGACAGCAAACTTTCTCCCCTGAGATTATTTTGCTGGTGCAGACACCGGGACTGAGACATTTAAACGAGAAGATGCAGATCCCTGAGGCTGAACATAAAATATTTATATGAAGAGACCGTGGACCAATAAATTTCAGTTATAAATGTTTACAGCTGAAGGTAGTAATAAATAACCTTCCAAAAGCAATATTTCAGTTTGCACTTATTGTACTTGTACTACACATTATATTTTCAGGAAACAATAATAATTATAGCAGGACATAGAATTAGCTCATGTTTAATGAATGATTACCCAGTTTACTTGTGATCGTTATAACATCAGGACACAATTAAAACTGTGAAATGTTGTTTATTCTGGAGAGATGTGGGATTGTTTTCTCCATGGCTACCATTTATATGCCCAACCAATGCATAATATGTTCATTAAATTGTGACAGGTGGGTAAGCTTTAATAAATTTGTCAGACAACTGCTAATTCTTGAATTTCCAGACATCTAACTTTAGCCATGCGGGCTTCACATGGGCTTTGGCAACTTTTGGGTTGCCTGCCTGACGCATTAACCTCAGACAGGGAGAGGACAGGGTAACTTCACAAGTTAATTTACATGCATGCAACCTGGAGGACTCTGATGAGTCCTGATGTGAGCCTTTAACAGGTGGGCTTCATTTTTCCTAGTGGGAGCTGTCTAAAACCACAGTGTCTGGTCAAGCACAGTCCTTAGGCTCCCATGGGCTGTGCACAGAGGGAGAGGCACCTCCTGTGGAGATTTACCATGGGGTGATGCCACGAGTTGTCTCCTAGGGAGGCTTAGTGCTTGCTGTTGGCTATAAACCTAGATTCTACAATAGCCTCTGATTGATCAGCTTTCTCTGCACAACTTTTCACTATTTTTACACTTAATAAATTTATTTTCCAGGCAATCTCTAGATCCACGTGGCAGATGCTACTGCTGTGCTTGCTTCTCATGCCATTTAGCAGCGATGGGAAGGATGTTTGGATGCTGGGAAGGGACAGTGCAGGACAATAGTGAGAGTTAACTTTTCCTGAACACTCCTCGGGCTAACACACTTGGTGAGCTACCTTCTTTCTTTCTTTCTTCTCTCTTCTAAGAGAGTACGAGAACCCTGCCAAATTTCCCCCCTGCGTCTCCACTAACAACTACCTGAGATAAATTTAGCCGGGGAATCAAACCGGTTGGTTTGCCTTTTGGGGGAAAGCAACCAGTTTGCAGGCTTTGATCTTCACTACAACGCTTGGAATGTGCAAGGAGAGCGAAAAGGAGAAATTGGCAAATATTTGAATGCTGCCCTCTGTGACAGCTCCCCATAGCAATCCTCCTCCAGGAGTCCCCTGGAGATTTGCGTTGTTTCAGGAGCAGACCAAAAGTAATGATACGTGTGGTAAGGATTCAGAGTTTCTGTGTTCCCCTCCACACTTCTGAACAAGCTATTGTATGAAGTTGTGACCTTTTAGGCTGCAAAAACAGTATTTCAGACAATTTTTTTGCAGATAGGTTGGCAAAAGCAGAAGGAATGCTTCCAAAAGCTGTGGTGAGAGCTTGGACCAGGCTCCAACGCCCAGAGCACGAAGGTAGCTCTGGTGAGCTGCTCTTGCTGCTAGAGCCAAGAGTGCAGATAAATGCTTTGGTGGGCTGGGACCTTGGGATAAGGCATGAGCTGGGATGTTCTGCATCTGCCCTCACATAGTGCATCATTTCAGGTCCATGCATAGCTGCCCTGCAGGATCTTTGCACAGCTATGCAGATGGGAGAATGGAGAAACTCTGAACAAATGATGAAAATATTAATGAAGGTTAGAATTCCCATTAATTATTGAACTACTAATTGAATTATTGAAGAATAATTATTAATATTCATAGCATCCAGATTGGTGGTGATAGATTAACCATGATGGCATAATTTAACAAACATTTTTTAAAATAAAACATTGAACAAATAATGTTTCCACCATTTTTCCATCTTAAAAAAATGAAGTGTGACGGGCTCATGAATATATGCAGCCTTTACTGATTTTGAGGCATGCTTTTGTATATTTTATTTTATTATGAATTGTGTTATGGTAGATTTTGTCCTCAAGTTGTTTCCCAATAAACTTCTACACTTCCTGAGACAGGAAGAAACCTATGACAAAATAAGCTTGTGGTAACAGCACTATAAATCCATGGCATAGGGGTAAGAATCATAGTAAGCAAGCCTACAATATGTCTCTATTCCTTTCTACTGATTTCTGTCTGATGCCTCTATAACACAGTGATTGATGTATATGAAAAACCTTTTAACACATATTAAACTGGGAAGTGAAACGTTCTTTTAAAGTTTTCCAAGATATGTAGATCCAAATTGATGCCAGAAACTCCTGAAAGCTTACATCGACTTGCGTTTTGCAATAGTCTTTTTTCATTAAATAATTTCTACATCAGATTTTTCATGGCAGTGGTATTACATTAAAATATAACTTATAATTAAAAAAAAAAAGTTTCACAATTGAATACCAAAATGCAAAACTCTGCAAAGAAAATTTGCAGTTTCTGCAAAATGTAAGATTTTGAAAAGCTTGTTTGTGCTTCTTAATCAAGAAACGATTTGCTGATATTTCCAGTCCAAAAAGATTTCTTCTGTTGGAGAAAAAGGTTTTAGGAGAGACCACTCCACCGGATCTGACTACAAGCCCGTGCCTATCAAATTCTGTCCGTCTCCTGTAGGAACTCTTTAAACAGATGTGTTTGCTGTCTGTGATTTTATCATCTTTTCTCTAAATTATTTAACGGCACTTCATAGGGAATAATGGTTCTTTGACTTCCTACACAATATAACATCATGTCAAAAATAGACTTGAGATCCCGTTATTTATATTACTGAAGTACTGGATGGCCTTGCCTGGGAACAGGCTGTTCCAGCATGAAGTAGAGTACCAAGTTGTGACGGGAGATGGGCTTTGCTGTGAAGAACTGACACTCAAGGCAAACAAAACTAGGAGTAGGGGACATCCCAAGACCACCAGAAGGAAGTGGTGGAATACGAGTGACAAATCTAAGCTGTCTTCCGAAGTATCTCACTGTTTTTTGTTTATTCATCCCCATCTTTCCCTCTCTGGCCTGGGGACGAGAGGTAGAAAATTCCTGCTTTACTTCAGTGGTTGTACTGAGAAATGAGCTTATTAAGGAAGCAGATCCAAAAGTGCCCCGGGTTGTATGTTGCAACTCAGCAGAAGATGAGCCAACAGGGAATGGGGATGACTAAATTTATTCATTTAGTGGGTGGACATTCCTGTCTTGCAAACCACAATGACAGATCCATCATAAAAAGCTGGGCTATTAAATTGTTGTTTAGCAAATACAAACTGAAACACCTCCTGCACGTCTGAAATGATGCATCTGTGCAGGGTTCGAGGTCAGGCTGGCCCACTGACCGGGTGATGGCTTTAGTTACCCTTTTTATAGGCAGAGCTAGTGAGGCTAGTCCTTTAGGGATGAAGCTAAGAAGGCAAACTTACAGGCTCGTTTTATTTAAAGGTGTCTACCATGTTTTATTTATTTTGGGGGGAAATAACTGAAACTGTGCAGTTTTTCCAGAGCACTGGAGTAAGTTTCAATATGTTATGCTATGTTTCTTTGTGAGGATGCACACCTAGCACTGGGTCTGCATCTGTAGCTGTCATTTTATTTATTTTCCATTTCATTTATTTGTTTGTTTGTTTTATATTTTACTTTTCAGCGGAATACAGCCGAAGTAATGACCAAGATTTGGGCCGCAACCTTGAATGGGTTGGCATGTGGAGGCAGAGGTAAGACCTGGGGCTGGTCCTGCTGAGCACCAAGGTGCAGCTGTGGCCCTCACTGGGCTGCCCCCAGCCTGCCCTCGGATTTTGCACCTTTAGGGCTCTGCTGCCTGCCAAATGCCCAGAATTGATTAACATACTTCATCATTTCTCCTCATCAGTGTCATCTTCCAGATGCCACCCTGTGTAAGTGCTCTGGACTTGAGTTTCTTCTGCGTTGCTTCATGTTGCAGCTGGAACCTCCCTGCTATGAACTTACTGGAGAGCTTGTACAACTTGCAAGTAACGTGTTCTTGCCTAAAAGACAAGGCAATGCTGCTTTAGCAGACACTGTTCTTAGAAGTTATCTGAAGTCTTTGTTGGCAAGTAAGCTCTCTTCAGGACTCTTCCTCTGTTACATTGGAGGCTGTTACTTAGTACAAAGCAATTAGAGGCAAGGCAGTTTTGCAGTGGAAGGCATGGGGATGCTGGCTAATCGCAGCCTCCTCAAGTACTGTGCTCTCTGACAAACCCGTCCTTGCTGTTGGGAGTTGTGTTTCCTGGAGCAAATCAGGTCACTGAGATCTGCACTCTCCATGGACAACTTGGGTTGTCGATGGAGAAGCTGCTGGTTTTATCCTCCATCCCCGCTCACCCGAAGGTTGTCAGTGCTCGGTTTAGCCCTGGAGCATCGCAGATTGATGGAGCTGTCTTTTGAGGTGTGCAGCTGCTCAAGGGCAGATGCACGGCAAGGCAACAACTTTCTTTGCCAGGAGGTGTGGGGACAGAGGGAACTGGTGGCAGTAACACAGCAGGTTTTCCTGCTTATACTTTTTCTTATTCTGCAGGTTAAATACCTAACATTTATGATCTGACATTCTCTCAGGTGCCAGATCTGGTGGGTGAGCAGTGCTGATCTGAGCTGGTAAAACAGCATCTTACCCCAGCTGGACATTTGTCCCCTGAGATGGAGGTGCTGGGGACGCCTGGCTTACTAGAGCTTGGTGGCAGGACTAGGGACACGGAGAGGGCAGCGCCAATCCAGCAAAAATTGGTGAAAGTCCAAAACGAGGACCCTGAGAGCACCACGAAAGAGGGGCTCGAGGAGCAGCACAGCACAGGGGCGGTGCCTTATCCTTTGCGTGGTGAGCTGGCAGGGTTACATCTGGAGAGGGGAGGAAACCACAAGAATGGTTTTCCTGGAGAAAAACTGTCTTCCTGGGCAGATGGCTCAGCCAGCCAGCAAGAATTACAAACCTCTTTGGGAATCCTTGCTTTATGGCTAGTGAGAAGGTGATATTGTTAGTGACAGCACAGAAAGATTGGCTGAAATAAAATAAAGAGGTTTCCATGGTGATCCCTTCATATCGCAGTAAATTTCATCCTGCAGTCAGCTGGGTTGCGTCTCTTCCCCCGGAGGAAGAGTCCTCAGCTCCCCCCCCCCGTTGTTAGTTACTAGTTGTGCTGGGAAATGCCGGCAGATCCCAAGCAAAGATAGTGACAAGGATCTCTGCGATGGCCTTGTTGATGATCCCAAAGAGGTTGGGTTGGCCAGGCGGTGTGCAACTGCCTCAGAATAATCCTGCCTCCTATTATAAATAGATAAAGAATAGATATTGAGATACAGATGTGGCTAAGGATAATAGAGGAAAGCAGGAGGCTTCTTCCCGTTGTAACGTGGGGAAAGGAAGCTCTTTGCACCGGGGTGACCGATGTAGTGTCAATATTGGGAGCGTAGCAGGAGCAGGAGGCAAGGGGTCTCCCTGGGTTGGGTGCTGCCAGCCCACTTTGGGACACGAGGATCCCCTCCAGCTGCGTGCTCACGGTGCCACGTCCGTGTGCTGTCTCTGGCAGAAGAATTGAGCAGCTGCAAGATGTGCTGTGCTGCGGGCAGGCTCGGTGACAAGCTTCCCCGCTCGTCACCCCGGGATGACGGCATCTCCTCGTCCTCCCCGTCTGCGTCTGAATTCAGAGCTGCAAACGCAGTGCAAGTCAAGCTTTGCCACCCGAAACATGCTTAGTAAGAGAAGCCTTTCCCTGGGAAGGTGTGGCATTGAATGCAAATGAACGCTGCCTTAGGACTGCGCTAATTTATGCTACAGAGCAAATCCCTTTTATCTGCCGAATGCACCGTGCAACCAAAAACGTGTTGACCGATGCGTGGCCATGCTCAGACCTCTCTAAATGCGGTGTCTTCAGAAGCAAAGAGGGATGTGCAGAAAGGGTGCCCTGATTATTGCCAGCTGTAAGGACTCAGGGTGTGCGGGGACACTCGGGAGAGCAGCAGAAAGGTTCCCCGGGCTCTGGTGTGATGGTGAGGGTCCTCCAGCCACCAAACCAGCTGGTTAGACAGGCTGCTGCCCTGGGAGGTAATTGCACGGGACATGTTACACCCAGAGCCTTGGGATTAATCTGCCTGGCTTTGTTTAGCCCCAGCTGCTTTCCAAGACAACCTTTCATCAGATGGGGCGCGTTTAAAGGAACCTTTCATCAGGTGGATGGGAAAAAAAATGCAGCTCTGGAGCTACCAGGCTGCAAAGAAAAGCTATTTATAAAAAAAAAAAAAAAAAGAGAGAGATCAGGATACATACTGCCTGCTCGAAGAAGCCTTACAAGGCAAAATAAAAAGACCCTGGCTGTGGCTGGAGGCTGTGACTTTTACCCAGGCTCAGCACTGGGGAGCTGGGTGTCAGCCGCTCAGGGTGAGTGCTCGCCCCGCTTGCTCACATCGCCCTCCCCGGGAGTGGCTTGTGTGCATTGTCGGGGTAAATTTGCTTTGCAAATCTACCTTTGTGTCTTCAGATTAGCTTTGTTTGCTAAGGGATTTTTGGAGGTAATGTGGGGGAATATTCATGTTTCTATTAGTTGGAATTTCTGCTTTTCGTTAACATCGTGCCAGCATGTCACTCAAGGCAAGCATACAAAGTGGGTATTTTCAGGATAGCTGACACATTGTGTTTTTTATTATTTATTTATTTATTTATTTATTTATTTTTGCTTTTAGGTCCTTTCTCTCAAAGCTAGTGACCCTGCTGTGGGCAGGTCTCTGCTGCTCAGTGCCCTGACTGCTGGCCATCAGACCCTGCTTTGGCTAGGTGGGTGCTGCTCAGCAGCACTGCCAAAAATTCTCTGTCTTATAGGTAGAGGAGAGTCATCCAAGGACACGTGCAACCATTGCACCCCCTCAGCACCCCCTGTGTGGGTGTGCTCGTGCTGTGCAGTGTGCTGTCCTCTGCTAGCGTGGCTGGTGGTGCACCCTCTGAGCTCCTGCAAGCACAAGTTTGTCCTACATTGAGTCTGATAACGTGTGATGTGTGGCTGTGAAGGCTAAAGTATCATTTCTTGCTGCTTGCATTTATATGTAAGCCAGCATTATAATTTGGGGAATGAAGCAAGTAACAGAAGCTGACTACCTGCCCTGTCGAAGCTTGGAGGGAGGGAAGCAGGAGGTCCCTGGTCACCCTGTGCCGGAGGAACACTGGGAAGCTCTCCCACCAGCCAGTTTTATTTATTCCCAGTATAAGATACTGGTTCATCATAGGCTTCTTCATTTAAAGCAGAAAGAGACTCCTCTCCATAGGAGGTTTTTGCCTCAGACCAGCCCTCCCCATGGGGCTGGGAAATGAGCTGCCCACCAAGCCGCAGCCAAATGACCTCAGCACCTTGGGAACAGGAAGGTTTCAGTCAAAGACCACGGGCAGATTCAGAGCATAGTCAAGGGCCATCTTCAAAGGGGAGGAGAACAATTAATGGTTTTCATCCCATAGTAAAATAATTTGAATTTGCATAAAATGATGAGCTGGGATCTCAAAGCAACATTTGGCTACCTGGAAAATCAAGTTTCATCTTTTCTACCAGTAGCATTTCAAAGAGAGATGCTAGAGATGGTAGAGTAGAACAAGAGATGATATGGAGTGGGCTATTGCCATGAAGGCAATACTGGGCACCACAGAAACCTCCTTGGTACGGTGAGGTGAGGCCGTAAAGGTGTGTGTGTGTTGTCCTTCTTCAAGGTGCAAAGATCAGCGCTCCGCTGGGTCTAGTGCCCAGGATGGGCTGGCTTGGTAAAACGTGCTGCATGGACAGCCTAGACTTTAGGGATTAACAAGAGTTTGTTAACAAGAGTTTCTTTTCAGGCTCAGAAGTTGGGGAGCGGCCATTTCACCTGCTCTGCTGGGTTGCAGGACTCCACAGTTCACAGAAGGAGAGTTGCACCTGATTGGCGTTGGCATCCATCCACCAGAAGGCATTAGCAGCATGCTCAGAAATCACACCAAGGTAGGCAACCACCAACTCCAAAAACGTGGCATCTGCAGGAATTTGTTACTCTTTATTTAAAAAAAAAAAAAAAGTGTTTTTTTTTTTAATTTTTATTTTTTTACAATTCCCATTCGTTAGGAATGTGCAAGCACCTCATTAACTCCGATGGTATGATATTTTTGGCTAGCCGCATTGCTAAGCATGTGTTAAGCTCTGATGAAGTGCAAGAAATTACCTTTGTAACAGCAGTGGTGTCTTCTGAATGCAGTTAGCGCCTCACCAGTGCTGATAAGGTGCGAAAAATGATCTTCCCATCTACAGTTGTGTCAACTGAATGCAATTAGCACCTTTACATGTGTTTAAAATCATGACCGCAGGTTATACATTTCAGCAGCCTGCAATACATTAGCACTTAATCCTATCTTTGTGAATCAAGGGGAAAAAAAAATCGCTGCAAAACCAGCACAATGCATACAATTAAGTGCCATTAACATTCCATTAACTATTTTTAATGAACTAAATCCCGTCCCGGATTGGTGAACAATGGACTTGGGACTTTGCATAGTTCACTGACAGGAGTTGCTGGCTCTGTAGGGTTGTGCTAAGGGAAGATCTGCTTACCCCTGCTAGACTTTAACTGGCTCTGTTAAAATGGAGTGGCAAAGCCCTGCTTTTGCTTTCCTGGGTATTTAAGAAATAGTGGATGCTAATGTGGAGGACGTGAAATGGGGCAAGGAGCTTCCAGCAGTGGGCTAAGATGCACTGTGTTGGTCAATCCCATGTGGCTCTCAGGATATGAAGCTCTTCTCCACCTGTACTGAAGGTGATCTGACCGGTGTCTCCATATGGAAATCTCTCTGTGTCCAAATAACTTCTGTCAGCAGTCTCCAAGCTCCTCCCTGTTCAAACTTACCAACCCGAGGATGAGTGTGACTGATGCAAGAGCTCCACTCATTTTTTCACGCAGAGGGTGTGTACAGAGTGGTGTTATTCAGACATCACACACTGACCCAGGAGAAGCTTTCTGTGAATATTTGAAAACTGTAAATAAGGAAGTAACAGAGCTACTTCAAAGGTAATTCCATCCCAAGCAAACTTTTACAGTAAGGATTGAACTCACGATCAGTCCGAGCCATTTTCTGTGCTGAGACTCACATTGCCTCCTTGTACAAAGCCATGCTTTTCAAGCGGTTTTACCAAAATTGGTGGTGACACCTCCACGGGAACAAGCATCCCCGTGCTGGGGCTGGAGGCTGGACACCACAGAAGCAGTTTCTGTATTTCACCTTTAATCTTTTTTTTTTTTAAAGCCAGCTATTGATTTTTCACTTCCAAGAGGAGTCTGCAACAGCCATGAGGGTTGTTTGGTTGTTGTTGTTTGACTTTTTGACTTTTATTTCCGTTCTTTGCACCACTTTTGTAATTGCAAGGGAGAGATCCACATCTGAGAACCTTGACAGGGGGTGTTCAGGACTTCTGTCACTGCTGACAGCAGTCCCACAGCAGTGGAAGGCTGCAGGGAGCCTGGGGATTGCCAGGGTGAAGGGAGCACCACGCTCAGCTCGTTGCACTCCTTGCACAGCACGGGACACAAAGCTTCAGTCGAGTAACTTGTGGCTGAACCAGAGCATATCTTTGAGAAAGGCACACTCTAGCGTGCTGCAATTTATTCCTGACTGTCCTTTTTTTTCCCTCTGTATTTCTACAGTGCATGGGCTCTGTATGCAAGATTAACATCTGGAAAGAGCAAGATTAACATCTGGAGAGTTATTTGAAGGTGATGTTGTCCTGTTTCTGAACCTAAATTCAAGCCCTGTCCCTGCTAATAGAAATGTCTACCGGGAATTTAGATGTTTGTTTTGTCGTCTTAAAATTTTAAAACTTTTTTTTTTTTTAAGGTTACCTTTCAACACCAGTGTCTTAAAGCACCATATGAATGTGGGTGTCTAACAGCCTCCTGGGCCAACACTGTTAATGGAAAGGGGCTTGAAGCCTGCTGAAGTAGGGTGGGTGGGTGGGTCTGGCTGATGTTGGCTTTGCTGGGTAATTGTTTCATGTTGTGGTGGGAACTGTATGGGATTTACAGGACCCAGTGAGGTCCTTTACTTCTTTTATTAAGCCTTGTCTTTTGGGGTTTCCTTTACTGTGCTGGGACAAACATCTCACTGCTGTGTGTATGCATGCATGGTGTTACGCCAGAGTCTCAACCCTAATTTTCTGCTCACTGCACTCATTTACAGAGGGCAATCCCTGACCATATGGGCAGCAAGCCCTGAGTGGCCAAGGGTGGGACGAAGGGGATTTATTTCCCTGCTGCTGCCCAGGTCCTTCATCCCCAGGGGGACCCAGAAGCAGTGAAACTCTTCTGCAGCTCACTGAGGGCTGGAACAGCCAGGCTGACTCTGTTTTAAGGGAAAGATCCTAAAACTGGAGGTTAAAAAAAAAAAAAAGAGAGAAATCAGCATTGTTAAGTGGATTTGATGCTGTGTGTGCTTAGTCTAGGCAGGGTAGCACTGCAGCAGCATCGTGCCTGGAGCCAGGGCGTTGTGCATCCCTGTTGGGATACAGCTGGGTGGGACATGATGCTGACAGCCATCCCTTCTGGAAATTAAATTTCATTCCCCTCGGTTGTCCTCAGCTGGCAGCCCTGCTGCTTGCTTGCCAAAGGATTGCTGACTGTGCAGGTTATCATGGGCTGAGGCCAAAACCTGTGAGATCAGTGAGAAGGGGCTCTGGCAGGACCCCAAAGAAAGGTCCTTCTCCCCTGGGAGACACGACAAAAAGCCCAAACCCTCTGAATGCTCAAGGGTCCTGAAATGAGCCGAAGGGTCGAGTGTTTCTCCTTGAATCAGGGTGCAGATCCCCGTTACCATATCCTGGTTCTGGGGGCTGAAGTCCATGCAGGTGGAATGAGTGGAGGAAAATTTGAGCAATAACTGGAGATGGGAGATCATTGCTGAGTAGGCAGGGTCTGAGGGGAGTTTCTGGCCTGAGGAGCAGAAATTAAAAAAAAAAATAAAGGTACAATGCTTGCTCCTGCCTCTAGGTGATTCCTGCTGGGTTTTCCAGTGATGTGCAGAGGGAAAATAGCCTGTGCAGGCTACTGCTCAATGCAGGTGTTTATAAAATTGTATCTATTTAAACAGAGGAATACGCTTTTTCCTGATGAGGTCGCTTTGAAAAAACAGCAGTGTGTCGCTTGACCCGAGCCTTTAACTGGAACTGTCTTGGCAATTTAATGAAATTAAATGGCTTGACTAGGGGGAGTTCATTAGTAAGTAATCCAAAGGCTAAAGCTCTCTGAGCTAGTTCAGCTCTCAAATGCTTATTTGTGTTTGCCAGGTTCAGTAAAGCGAAACCCCTTAATAGGCGCTGGCAGCATTTACGACGTGCTCTCCTCTGATCTGGGGATGGCAGCACACACACGGGGGTGACTTCACGTTTCGGCGTGAGGTTTGCAGAAAGAACCTCGGGAACGGGCACGCAGCCCCCTGCATTTAACCAGGCAGCCTCGGGTGGCTTTGCAGAGGCCGCTCCGTGTCTCAAACTTCTTGCTCCCAGCAGAGCAAGCCAGGGAATCTCATTTATTTCCAACGAGCTTTCCGAGACGGCTGCTGTTGGCAGCAGTGCAATGCTGAACCTGCAAGGGGCTCTGTCTGTCTCATTGCTCTGGGCCACGGATGGGATTACGATCGGTTTTATTTCATGCCAGTTGCCCAAAGGGGACCAAGGATGTGAAGTGTCTCTAGGATTTTGGTGTGCTGTAAAAAAAAAAAAAATAATAATAAGTAAAGGACACCAAATTTATTTCCTTTGAGAAGGGATTCAGAGGAGCAAGAAGGGTAAGGAGCTTTCTCCTGCTGTGTAAAGGGAGCTGGGAACCCAGAAAACAAGTGAATGGGATAAAGTTGAGCAGTGCTGAATTCACCAGGTGTAAACAAGATTTACAGGTGAGTGAGCTGCAGCACCACTGAAGGTTTGGAAGGGGAGCTCGCTAAAAGGTGCCTGAAACAGCTGAAGGAAAATCCTGAATATATCTGGATGTATTTTTTAATGTAGCACGTGAAGATCAACCAAACCTCGTGCTGGTCCTTAGGGAGTTCTCAGCCCTGAAAGTCCCTGGGGAAGGATCTGTATGACACATCCCAGCAGTCCACTCAAGCATTAAAATAAATGAATACATAGCTCGTTAAAACCTCTTGATGTGAATTTAGTAGAAGTCCAGTGCAATCTTGCAGTCAGCCCTTGTGCTGGAGTTACAAACTCTGGATTAGATCCATGCAGAAAAACTTCCCTGACCTGAGTTAAAGCTGGTGACTTCCTGGGAGGAAAGAGGTTTTTCTGTGGTTGAAACCCATTTTATGGAATAATTATTGCTGGGCTTTAGCCTAGCTGCTGTACAAATTCTTCTAACAGTAACTAATACCATCTGCCAGGTGGCTCTTACAAAGAAATTCTGGTATGAATATTACAGAGGGAAAAACATCAATATGACTAATAGATATCCCAAATACTGTCAGATCTGCAGCGGTTTCGGCTGCGTGGGTTTTGCTCTGAAATGGGTAAAACCCCCTCCTGGCGGGCGGGTTTTGAGAGGATGGTTGCTGCCAGGGATTCAGGGGACCTGTGTGGTTTTTTTTAGTGCTGTCTGAATTTACACCACAGGGCATTGCATCCCAGAAAAACCTCGTGTTGAGCACTGCCAAATACCACTTACATGGATTATATTTATGATACGGAAAAAAATGAGATTTTATCCAGAGGTAGGACATGAAAGGTCATAGGGCAGCTACAGGAGACTGTAAGCTCTGCAGAAGCTTATGTAGCAACCCTGTTTTTTCTTCTCTGAGCTGAAGCCAGCTGCCAACCCTTGTGGGCACCTCTTTTTTCCCTTCCAGACTTCCCAAACTGAGCAGAAGCTGGCTGGCGGCTCTCGGGGCATGCGGTCTGTGCTGTAATGAAGTGCAGTCCCTGACCCCTCTCCGTGGGCACTGTGCAAACACGGGCATCCACCCTACAGCATCCTGCGCTGGGATGAGCAGGGAGAGCAAACAGTGGAGCTGGGTGATCCCTCTCTTGAAGGCTGGCTCTGCAGCCAGCCCCAGCCTCTGTCTAGCACCAGCACGTGGGTTTGTACGGGAAAGGCTCCGAGTTTCCCTGCGAGGTGTTGAGCAGGAGGGACAAAAGTGGCACAGCAACGACATCTTGTGCTGCACAGCCACTGCTGCATGTGCTGGGAGCACACCGCGGCTTCCTCCCCTCCTGTGGCACCTATAGCAGCCATACGGGCACAGCTCTTGGTCTTACATCCCTGAGCCTTGGCTGAGCCCAGAGGGAGGGTTTGGGCCCTCTGGGGAGCCCTCCCACCTGGCTGTGACACAATAAGCTCCTGATGGACAAACTGTGCATTTCTCTGCAGTGTGTGGCACTGGGAAACCCCATTTCCCCTGCCCAGCTGGAGCACTCAGCATTTCCTTTGCAAAGGGGACAGGGGAGGGGGAAGCTGATGGACAGGGAGGGACCGGGAGGATTTTTGGCAACAACAGAACGGGGTTGGAGTGAAAAGGATGAGATAGAAAGTCCTGCTTGTTACATCCAGTAGCTTTTTCTCTTTTAGTCAGTGCTACAAAGCACTGAAATCACTCCAGGCTGCACTGTGGAAACCTGCACTCTGCCCATTTTATCTGTAGAAAAAGGCACACGAGTAATTTATTTATTTATTTTTAATAAGTATGCAAGTGTAAATGGTCTGTCTTACATCCAAGGCTCAGCGTGCCTGAAGATCAAGTCTCAAGATGCAGACTGGCATTTTGTCCCAAACAAGGGCTGCAGTATCACCCCCTTAGCTGTAGCCTGAGTTGAATTATGACCATTTTTACACCAAACTCCTGCAAAATCAGCACGTTTCGGAACCGCGGTGAAAGGGCGGCAGCTGAGTTTCTTTCTGAGTCTTTGTAGGGAGCAATGCTGCAGTGCAGGGCTCACCAGACGGAGGCTGTGCTCCGAGGTGCAGCACAGATAAAGGAACTCTGCATGAGGCCCTGCAACATCCATCTGCTGAGCTTAAGGTAATGGCGAGCAGAAACCAGGAGGCTGAGCTGCGGGCTCCCGTCCCACCTGTGTTGCTTTATTTCTCTGCACCTAAGGCGTGCAGCAGCAGAAATTGCTCTTGAAAGTCAATGGGACTGTTCAAAACAGCCTCAGGTGCTTTTTAAAGACCTGTCTTGTGTGGAGCTCTAAAGGCTTGCAAATTACAGTTAATTCATGTTGCTCAAGTGTTTTAGGGGAGCCCAAGACTTCAGTCCTGTCCTGCTTAGGCTCCCACTGCTGGGGTCTCTTCCTGGACATGCTGAGTTGAAGGGCTGGTGGGGCTCAGGAGCAGTAGTTACTGCCTTCAGCTGCCCGAGAGAGCCAGTATTGCTCATGTCCCTGGAAAAAAAAGCAGGGCAGGCTGTGGTCCTGCTCCAGGGCACCTCGATGGAGCCCCAGCACAACGACCAGGGTGTGAAGGCTTGAGCTGCACTAGTGCTTCATGGAAAGAGCTGCGTGGCAGAGGGGGCCTGGGTCCAGCTGAGCAATGCCACTGCTCCTAGGGCACCCCTGTGAGAAAAACAAGAGCGGCTGTGGTTTTGCATGGCTTGTGATGCTGACTTCTGTCTTTCATGTGGAAAGGGAGGGCCCCATTGCACTCAGAATGAAATTAATAGCAGCGAGGAGCATAACTAGGCCACCTGCCTACCCAGCCATCGTGCCATTACGCATCCACGGGGGTTTCCTCATTGACTTGGGTTTCTATTTTGGGTCTATCAGCCCTTCCTGTGCTCTGCACAGATAAGCAGGAAGAAGTGTCCCCCTGTACATGAGGTAGGAGCTTGTCAGGTTTCTCCTCTGACCCTTTATTCAGGTTGGAGAAACTTCTGAAATTGGCTGCAGCTGGCGAACCAGACACAAGTTTTAGTCTGCTCACCTCTGTCTTTTCCAGCCCGGTCTGATCACAAATAAAACCCAAGAGCCTGGCTGAAGCTGTTGGCTCCTGGCAGGTTAAATGATGTCCCATGGGTCTGACGGGTAAAATGTGGAAATGATAGAGGACTGGGAATAGAAGGTGGGGAGGGGAAGACTGATAACAGTCTTTTGAAGAAATAAATGCTGGTTTTGTCCCAAAACCACTGTCATAGCTCATAAATGTTGTAGGCAAGGGTTGGTGCATTCATTTGGATGTGCCTGTGGGGCCATGGGGTTGGGGTCTGGTGCTGGATTGCACCAGAAATGAGGCACAGCTGCAGCTCCGTGCTGGGTCTGGTGGGACAGTTCAGCTTTCAGTGGCAACCTGCGGTATCATGGCAGCATCCCTCAACTCTGAAATTTCACAGAAAGTCCTCAGGAAAACCTTAGCTGCCCCAGTAGCTCCATGGGTAGGTTCAAAATGAAGATCAAGGTTGCCTTCTTCATGCATGCTACGATAAAATACAAATTCCAAAAGACATCCAGGTGGTTTGCTGCTCTAAGTCTTCCTCTGCTGGAATGGAAATGGCCCATATAATTTAATTTGGAGTATCCCAGGGGGTTTGGGGTGAACGGAGCTGAGCAGAAAATGAGGCTAGTGCCGCGGAAAGGGGCTCCAGCCTGCGCCTTGCCTTGTCGTGCAACTCTTCAAGAGGGCTGTGGAGTTTTGTGGGACTTTCCCAGTGTTTGTCAGAAGGTGACGTTGTGTAAGGGTGCTGCACGCCACACTCAGCATGAGGTCTTGGTTTAGGAACAATTTCAGAGGCTGCCTGATGCGCTGCCTCGGTTGAAGGAGAGGGTGAGCAAGAGCTGTGGCTGCTCCCCTGTCCTGTGCCTTTCAGGAGGGTGCTGGCTTCAGAAGGTGGGCTGGCTCAAATCGTCCCAGGGAAGTAGGGTAATTAAAAGGTGAGCCGTGTCACCTCCTTGTTCGTAATCCCTTTGGCAGAAAGCCCAGCTGCTGCTGAATCAGGAAATGGTGATTCATCATGGAAAGGGCTCTGGCACCCAAAAGAACCCGGTACTGGGTCTGCAGGGTGCCCACACTGAAGACGAAAACCTCTTCATTGAAACTGGAAAGGGCAGTCGGATTGTTCTTAGTCATTTCTAATGCCTGTGTGGATGAGGGTGGAGGTGGGTGGTGGCTGGGATTGTTATTTTTATTTATTTTTAAAATTTCTTTGCTCCTACAGATCGACGTGCTGCTGGTGGTGCCCTCAGATGCTCAAAGGCCACCAGTGCTCTCATCGGAGAGGCCCCCCGAGTGCTGAGACTTGCTCTGGGGACTATGAGAGCAGCAGAAATACACGAATGAAGACAGGAAAGGAAAAATAAAAGCTACAAATCAGCCTCAGCACGCAGGGTGCTGTGTAACCAAGTGGGGCTCTGCTGACAGCAGCACGCTTGTCGAGGAGATGTGTATCTGGGTGCAGTGGAAAAAACTTGCCAAGTGCCCGTGAACTATTTTAAGGTTGCAGCCTCGTTCATTTTACAGAGATAACTTAAGTGTCAAACTGCTTGGTGCCTTTGGGATTTTTTTTCCTCTCTTAAAATAGATTTTAGGTGCTACATTTTCTGCTGACGGATGCACACAATGGTGTTGTGTCAACGTACAGTGACACAACACCAGCTACCACAAAGCTCCAGCTACCACAAAGGAGCGGTTGTCCATTGAGCTACAGTGTTTGGGCAACACCTGCTGCTAGGATTTTTGTAAATAAAGAAGTTGTTTTGTGTCCTTATGCAGCCACACTGTCATTTCTTAGGAAGGCTGCAACCTGTTGGCTGATTTCTGTCAAAGCCATGGTTTCTCCAGGCTGTGTGACAACAGTTTAAATGAAGCAGCACTCCCCACGGAGGCTCCCAAGGTGATTTCACCTTCTTTAGCTTCCATGAAGTTCAGCAACGCACAACAACTTAGTAACGGAGACTTGAGGAACCTTGCTGCTTGTGGAACAGGCTCCTCACCTTGAGGAGCAAACTGTATAACTGTACAGGAGGAAAAAAAAACGCTCAAAACCTCTTTGTGTTGATTGCCTTCTATAGAAAGATCTTGACAACCTCTCCTGTAAAAAGCTCTCACGCCTCTGCTCTTCAGCGAGCCTTTGATGCTCAGAATGGGTAGTCCTGGGGCTACTCCACTGCCTTGCCTTTCTCTCCTGCACCGCTTGGCTCCCCTTGGCCTGTGGACAGCTGTGCCCCCTCCGGGCCCTTGCTTCGTTCAGGTGTGAAGGCATTTCTTCATGCTTAAGAAATATCAAAGGCTTGGATCCTTCTGCTTCTAACCACTTGCCTATTCTGGCACTGTAGAGAAAAAACAAACAGACCTCAGTGGGGTATGCTTATCTCAAGCCTCACCCTAAAGCCTCGAACTTGATGATCTTTGTAGGCCCCTTCCATCTGAACTCTTCTCTCGCTGTTAATGACACCCAGATACATTGCTGTGCCTCTGGGCATCTTCTCTGACTTGGTTTGGAGTGGCTGATAGTCTCAGTCTTCCTGTAACTTGCATTGCATTGAACTTGTTCATGGAGATGGCCCCTCTAGATACACCAAGAGCGCTCACCGCTGGTGGTGCAGGAGCAGGAAGGTGCTTGCAGATGTCCTTGTCTTGCTTTGGTACCGCAGGTTTCTTGGCTGCAGTGACTCCCCAGCAACTTTGTGCAGAGCCCAGCATGTCTCACCTATTTTATTTTTTTTTATCCCTTTTGTCCACCTTTGTGACACTGCGATTATGGTTTGTGAGTATGCAGCTAGGGCTTTCATACTTGGTGGTTTTATCATTACCGTTTCCTCTTGTTGGCACTGCCTGTGCATCAGTCTGGAGCTGGTGTGTCTGGCTGGCTTCCTCACAGGACAGAGCTGCTTACAAGCCTGTAGCTGGGGGGATGGAAGAAAGTATTTAGCACTGAAACTAAGCCTGGGCCAGACTCTCCATCCTTGTGTAAGCAGGGGCTCGAGAGCAATCCCTCCTCTGCTCCTCGGCTCCTATTTCACATTTGAGTGATATAAAGGAAGCCTCGTTCCCTGGTGTAATGGGATCATGGAAAAACAATGAGACGTGAAATTATTTTCCTTCCTTTCCAGATAAATCCCTTGTTGTAAATTAAAGCATTTACCCATTTAACTACAGGTGAATCACTGATGCCTGCCTAAGTCTGCTGTTAATAAGGAAGGAGATTATGCAGGACAAACGTTCAGATCTCCTGGGTCTCCCTTGCTAACGATAATGTAATGTTCTTCGCAAGTTATGTTATCACCAAGATAACAGGGAGGCTGGGGGAATGAGCAGAGGGTAAACTGCTCTCAGCATGAGAGCTGGATGGATCCCAAGGGCTGGGTGATATCCCCACGCATTCAGTGTTATCCAGTTCTCCAAGCACAAAAAGACGTTTCCATTGAAAAAGCACTTCTGATTAGCATCAGATCAAGTCGTGCAGGCAGGAAACTTTGCAAAGGGTGGAAGGACAGCTTTCACGTGGCTCTCAGGACATCCCCTTGCTGAGCTCTGCCAGCGGCAGGGCTGTGCGTCAGCAGGCTGCAGAGCGAGCTTTGCATTCATTACCCTGCCTGGTGAGATCTGAAATTACATGCATATCACGGCAAATGTAATCAAGTATAACTAAGCCAATAGGAAGACAGGACTCATCCTATTTTTCACTTAATTGTCTTTCGAAATTAATTGGAAACACTGTTTGTTTTACACAGTGGATACCAATCCTCTTTCAAAGGGCTTGAAGCTTGATGTGTTTTATCCCCGTGTTTTGGGGATCAAGGATGCTGAAATCACAGCCTCGCCAGGGTCACCCCCTCCCTTTCTGCTGAGGCAAAATCAGCCACATAAAACATCTCCCAGAAGAAGGTCTGATGAAGGCTGCTCACCATCCCCAGCCACCCCGTGCTTCCTCCTTCTCCTCACTAGACATCTGTTTCCTAATGTAAGTTTAAGCTTCTCATACTTGTAACCACCTGCAAGCACCTTGAAGTAATTCCCTTCTTCTCAACAACAGTTATGTAAGGATTTTTTTATATCATCTCCTTTTCTTCAGATCGCATCTTCCACCTTCTTCTCATGGATCCTGTGTTCTGGATGCCTGCTCCTGCCTGTGCTCCTCTGCAGTCCACGTCTTTGCCTTCTACTGCCTTAAATTCAGCGCAGAGCTTATCCAAGGACTGCTTTGTTTCTCAATGATGATACTTAAGCTACAGTAATCCTGCAAGAGCTTTTTCTGCCTGATATCACAGTCAATTTGTTCAAATTGTGATCCTGTTGTAAGGACTAACCTACCTCTTTCACAAAAGCTGGAGTCAGCATGAAAGATTTAAGTTAAGCAGCATTTTTCCTGTTACCTAGGACAATTTTCCTTTGGACTGGGAGTAGAATTGCTTCCATGCTTATCACTAAAAATGTATTGTTTCTGCCTAAATTTGCAAAAAAGAATGTGATTCATGCCCTTAATACTCCTGAGTGCCTGTAACTCATGTTGGTAGCTGACAGTGGGTTTGGATCCTGCTCCTGGACAAACTGCAGTGGAAATCCTACCCCACTGCCTTTGACTGCTTTCAGATCATTCCCTGCATCTCAGGTTTAATTTGACCTAACTATAGCTCACTGGCAAATGACAATTCATAGTTAGACAATTTTCCAAGTCTAATTGCACCAGAGTTTTCTTGGTACTTCAGAATTTCTTAATTGTATTAACCAAGGTGAGGATAATTGCTGCTTTCATATCCTTGAAACTTCTCATACAAAAGAGGCTTATGCAAGAATATGCTCATTCTCTCCAATAAATGATCTCTCTGTTATTAAGGAGTGTGCATTGGGGGACTGCTGGGAAGCATTCCACTGAACCATTATGTACTTGAACAAAACCTGAAACTTGCAGATACAAGACTAAATTATAGTCTGGGGCAATCATCAGAAGACACTTTTTTTTTTTTTTTTTTTTTCCTAGAGGTTGCTCTTTCAGAAGAACAAGCCTCAAATCCGTGAATAACCTGGTATTTTACATATTGGGGATGTTCTGGGTGGGGGAAATCTCCTATTTATAGGTCGCTGCTGCTCTGGCATTGCTCCTGGTAACAGGTACCAACACGGTCCTGTTTGAACTGGCTGGTCTGGGCTAACAAAGAGGCCTTATTGTTTGCTTTGATCCTAAACTCCTGGAGCAGGGTCTTTTTTACCCTCCGGTTCAGGGATCTCAAGGTGTATGTGGGGTTTCTAGACATCAGGATATCATAGCTGTGTGCTTGTGTGTACAGTGCAGCAAGACCACTCCAGCAGAAATACAGACATTGTGTCTTTCCTTAAGCTCCAGCTTTAATGTACACGCACATTAAAATGCCATGTACCACTTCTGAGACTGCAACTGCTGTTAAAAAAAAAAAAAAAAAAGGATGAACTCAGTGTTTTCCAACACCAATCCAACAGAATGAATGCAGGAAGGAGGCATGCAGTGAGTCAAACAATCCAAGAAGTAAGTTCTACACAAATTGCTGATAAGGTAGACACATTTCACAGCCCATTCTGGGGAAAATATCACATTACATGGTGCTTCGCAGAGGAGGAGAAATCCTATTAAAATCCTGAAAAATTATGTACGCGAGTTAAACATGGATATTTAAAATGATCCGCATTTTGGATGCAGGGTAACAAGTAAAATGAACATCTCTTAGGGATAATAGCAAGTGCCACGGAGGTTTTACACAGGGTCCTTGGTAAGTAGTAATCTTCTTACAGTTACAGAACCAATTTCTCTTGCGCCACATGAAATAATGCTCAAAACAAGACTAAGTATTTCTTTCAATTGCTAGACAAACTAGGAGGATAAATAGGATGGAGACCCTAATTACAACTGTCTGAGCACTGCGAGGACATCAAACCTTTCAGGTAAGCTGTTTCCTCACTCCAGGGCTTTAAATCGGCATGGGCTGTGTCATCATTCTGAGGCACCTGAGCTATAATTTAGGAGCTTTTTCCACTTACCATGGCTGGCTGAAGTACAGCAGTATGAGTTTTGCTGAGTTTTAAATGACTGAGGTTTAAAATCGGATGCCAGTGCTCTGGCTGCTAAGCTACACTGATACAGCAGACCAGAATTTGCTGTCTCCTGTGTTCCCTGACCATGGGCATGAAGCGGATCCACACCCATTTGCACCCACCTTGGCTGGCATGCATTTTGTGTACCAAATTTTTGTTACAAATATTTTTATAATCTCCATTTGGATTCTGTCTCTCCAGAACCTGGTAGGTCTCAAAGTTGCTCTGAAATTCCTGGCTCCAACATAAAGTTTGTTCAGACCAGGAACAGGCTAAAAACCTTGTTCTACAAATACTTCAGTGTACTTTCCGCTACCGTCTTGTGTGATTGAGCTCGGTTGGTCACCACGAGACTTGCTGTCTGGAGTAGCCCTTATTCTCCTGGGAGTCAGTGCCACAGAATAACCCAACAGAGAAGCTGTGCGACTGAGGGATATGCATTTGCAGAAGCCAGGGGAAACATCTTCGGCAGCCTTCCTGGTGCTCTGGACAAGAGGATAAGCATGGACCCAACTCAGCCGTGCTTCATTTCACTGTTAGAAGCTCTGCACTGCTGAATTCCTGTGGGCTGAGTCCCTGATATCTGCTTTCATCAAACGTGACACTTAGAGAAAGAAGAAAATACTTCAAGGCGTGAATCTCAGTGGTGTGACAAAGACCTTAGCGGATGAAATGGATGGCTCTGTTGGCCATGGAAACCAGAAGAGCCTGGTTTCCTTCAATCTCATTCTGTGCCTTGGCATCTCAGCACGCTCCAAAGTCCAACCAGGAGCTGTTGCTTTCCTGTGACCTAGTATGAAACCAATAGTCTGGAGTAATTGGTCTTGGAAACTTAATGCCAACTTATTTGCTGAACTTCAATGAGAACAATCACTTCTTCATGACAGTTAAGTACTGGGAGGTGCTAAAATGGTCATAAGTGACCTTCTCTAGTGAAGGATGACAAATGATTAGCTTGTGGAGGCTGTGTCACTTCTCAAACACCCAGAAATA